TTTTCATTTCCTTTAGTCTTTAACTGGTGCATTCTTCTATTTTCTTTAGTTTTTTTTACCATTGTCATGCCGGAAAATCTGATGGTCCTCAGAGAGATGCATGCCCTCAGGATTCTGCAGCAGGATGGGCATAAAACCCAGGGTGTACCTGTGGTAGCCAAGTCTGTATATCAAATAATACTGCTTGTTGGTTTTTCCTTTAAATAGTTGCTATGCTTAACTTGTATGGTTTGTTTGTTGGTGTATTCTCCATTACTGAACTTCAGCTGTGACTTTACATTTTGTTCAGGCAGTTAAATTTTATTTAAAAATGATTAATTGATTTTAGCTTATTAACAAAAATATTTAATTGATTTTGATGAACTAGATTAACTCATGATGTTTAATTCTGGGAGGAGAATGGACCTAGCGTCTCCCCCGGCCACCACCTCTGCTTGAGGCAGAAGGAGGCCTAAACTGGGGTTTCCCTACTTCCTTTCTACAACACATCAGTTCTCTACTTAGTGCAACTCCAACAGTGTTGACAGTGACCTATTTCTTGGCCTGGGTTATATAGCAGTTAGCTTTATAATTACCCATAATTATACAATGTGTAATAGTTGTAAATTGGTTTTGTGCATGCATGTTTCAGAGTATAAGGTAAAAATAGTCTACTTGCATGAAATTTATTAGTGGGAACCATCACTACATATAATTTTTATTTAAGGACTGGATACATTTTAATATTAATTATCTTGTAAAAACTATTAACATATGAATGAACAGGTTCTTTTTTTTTTTTTTCCCTTTTGACATAAGCAAGTTTTCTGAGGTAAAACTCCCAACAGTATAAATGTACCCTTTATTTAGGTATGCAATTCAATGAGTTTGGACAAATGTATACAGTTGTGAAAGCACTACCACTGAGATAAAATATTTCTGTCACAACAAAGTTCCCTTGTGCCCCCTTGCAGTCAGTTCTCTCCCATTAACCCCTAGGTTCTGGAAACTATTGATGTGATTTCAGTACCTTTAGTTTTGCCTTTTCTGCTTTGTCCCGTAAATGGAATCATACAGAGGTAGCTCCTTGTGACGGGACTCTTACTTAGCGTAATGCTCTTGAGGTTCATCCATGTCGATGCATGGCTTAGATTGCATCTCTTCCTTCACAGACTGCTGTTCCACGGTAGGGGTATATATACCCGCTCTGCTTGACCACCCCCCAATTCATAGATGTTCGGAATTTTCACTGGAAAGAACAGGAAGACGGAAGTGCATAGAGTGGTAGGGATTCATGTGAGGAAGGTGGATGTGATGCCGTTTCCTCAGTGAAGGAGATTATAAACGTTAGCTCAGAAGCAGATGGCGGACGGTGTGGAGGGGACACTTGGGAGGAAGAAAAGAGTCATCTTGGGGAAAGAGGAAGGAAGCAATTTCTAGGTAATTTCAATCATTGGCATAAAATCAGCCAGCCTGGTTGTGCAGGTTTTCTTTAGCAACGTCCAGCTGTGCAGGAATGGAGAAGGCAGATACCTGGATTCAAATTGGAATCCACATAGAGCTTTCCAGTTGCATGCAACAGGGAAGAGCGACAATGGCGTTAACGGCATTTGCAATGGAGATTATACTGAGGGACCCAAGCTAGATGGGAGGGAAAGGAGACCAGCATTGTGCTGGGTGACAGGCACGTGCTGAGGTCCCCTGAAGTGGACACCACAGTGGGAGGAAGCTGTGAGCCGTGTAAGTATTAAGGCAAAGGGCGTGGATGAATCCCAAGTGGTGGTTCGTGCTGGAAGGCTCAGACTGAGCAGTCGGTGGCCGGGCACTTTCTGAGGGTGACAGTGGCTGTCTTGTGATTGTGTGGTGTGACGGGGGGTGTGCTGAGTGGACCCAAAGGAAAGGGGGCAGAAACGGAGAGGTGAGGGGTTGGCTCTTTAGCTACAAGGCTGCTGAAGTTCTGAGATGGGGCAGGAGTTGAGGGAAGACCAGGAACCAGGTTTACAGACCAAACACTGGGGTTTGGTAGCTGACTAGCCTGAGCTTCAAAGGAGCCGGGATCATCCTTCAGGGAAGATGGAGAGAAATAGTCTAAAGTCGTAAACGGCGATAACATGAAGCCTCCCACCTGCATGAGGGCCTGTGAGGGAGATGATGCGTCCAGGAGGGACCACATTTCAGTTAAGACAAAGCGATGGATGTGAGTCTTCTAAGAGAGGAACTGGATTAATGCAAGGTTTTTATTCTTCTCACAGACTTAAACCGGATTGGGTTTTGAGAAGAGATAACTTGGATGAAATCGTGAATCCTCTGAAAGCTATTCAAATGGTGATGGACACACTTGGCATTCCTTATTAGCAAAGGCAAACGTCTCAGTATGTACAGGAAAAGAAATAGGAAAGCTGATCACATGTATGGAAAGTGCTTTTTGCTTTCCTTGTACAGTTTTTAAAATCTGACTTTATATTAAAGTTAAAAAGATATATGTAACAAACAAACTTTTTCTATTCTTCGTTTCTTTCATCTAAAATTTAAAATCCTTTCTAAAATTCATTTAAAAATCTTTGCTGATTAAGAAAATACTGGCTTTTGGATTGCTTGTTGCTAGTAGCTAGGCTTCCTAACAGGCTTCCTTTTAATTTTTATATTGTTCACTCTGTCCAGAAAGAGTGATAATCTACTATAGTTCTGCTTTCACCAGAAAGGGAGAATTCCGATGGAAATATGTTGCTTATAGCTTCTTTATCAGAGGTTAATATAATGCAGATAAATATTTACTTACAATTTTCATTTGAGGGCGTGTGTATTTGTGGGTGTGTGTAAAAAATTCCAACCTATATAAAGGAAGAAGGAAATAGTCCAAAAACCTGCTTATTTCAATAAATGCTTATGGAGGGCTACATAAAGTAGTGCATCTGCATCTTGCATAAATTATGGACCCTTTTTTTCTCCAATTTTACAGAAGCCTTTTCAGAAACCAGTCTTAGAGAGTAGAGTTTTATTCTATGAATAATATTCCATTATTATTGCAGATAGCTTTTGTATTTGGAATAGTGATGGTTTATTTTGAATTATCTAAATGAGACCAAAATGAAACTTGATCTAAACTTTGCCCTTGCTTTGCCAAAGCATCATTAATTTTCATACCTGCTCAACATTGTTGGAGTATTAGAAACAGGCTCTTCCTGCTGTCAGTATTTGTGATTGATCTTTATTGAGGTACATTTGAAGAACAGTCCGATGACATTTATATTCACCTTAACAACGTTATTAAAGACATAGGTTACTCAGTGTCTTCCTTCTATTGTTACTCTCTCTGAGGCTATCTGGGTTCCATGGCCACTTTCCTACAAGATCTTTCTGTTCCATGTATGTTCCTATCTGCTCCAAAATAAGCGCTGACCTACTGACAGGTAGCAGTGATCTGCTTCCCTCACACCGAGGCAGTTTTCGAGTGAAAATCCATCCTGATTGGTAGCCTCGCTGTCAGCGTGCAGGTGTTTGCTCTTCAGCAACTTCTGTGCTCCACGTTTAGAGATGCTGTTTACGTCAGTGGTTTGAAGTATCCCGTTGTATACCTTGCTCAAGGCTCAGAATGTACACTTAAAAATTCTGCATTTCTTTCTAAATTTCATGGCAAAAGAATCTTTAACATTACTGGGTTAATGATATATTTGCTTTAGTTTTTAGAGGAGCACACACAAATACCTACCACTTACTTTGAAATGCATCAAAAAAGGACAGATGGATAGATGAATAAGTACATGATTTTAAAAAGTATAATGTGAACGGTAGAATCCAGGAGGAGGTTATGTTTGAAATTTTTCAAATTAAAAAATAATCTTTGAAAATAAGCAGAGGCCATCTTATATTCCTTAACTGGAAGTCACGCAAATGTCCATGAAGAGTAGAATGGGTGGGTAATTCGTGCCATATTAGCAGAGTGGAAAACTGCAGGGAAGGAGTTACCTTCTACAGCGCAAGACCAGAACGAATCTCACAAGCAAAATGTTAAACAAAAGAAGCCAGATATTTTTTTCAAAAAACAAAAAAACTCTAGGATTTCACTTATGTAGAATAAAACCAGGCAAAATTGACCTATGCTGTCAGAAGCCAAGATTGTATTTATACTGGGAGTAGACCTCGCCAATGACCCAGAGCGGGGACTCTGGGAACTAGTGTATCCTCTTGTTCTGGGTGCTGGTTCACAGATGTGTTCAGTTAGTGAGAATCCACTGATCTGTGCACTAATTGTACATGTACTTTTCTCTTAATATGTTGCATTTTAATAAAAAGTTCCTGAACTGAAATAATAATAGTTCCCTCCTCACAGTATTATTTTGTAGTTTAAACTAAAACCTATTAGAATGTAAACTCCATGAGGACAGTCATTGGAATCTATTTTTTCACTGCTATAAACCCAAGACTAGAGTATGTCCTGGTATAGACCAGATAGTCAAAGCATTTTTCATGAATGATAATTCAGCACAGTGCTTATCTAATCACCTGCCACAGCATACAGCCTCTCTCAACATTAGACTTTACAATCAATAACATTATTCTATCACTGCTTGAGACAATTAAGGCCACTTTTCCCTTTAGCAGTGCAGTCTAGACAACACTGTTTCCACATCAGGGATCCATTAATTCATGTACCTAAGTTCATCCCTTCATTTGATCTACAGTGGTAAAGAAATCAATGGCCACCAATGAACTTTACTCCCTGGACTTACATTGGGAAATTAACATTGAAAATTTACCCTGTTTTTTATGCAGCCTGAGTTAATTATTTTGCTGCTGTTATTGTTGCCCTCATCAGTGGTCATGTTCTTATTGGACTGTGGTGTGAAAAGTACTGTCAATTAATGTAGATGTGTATTTTTAGTATTATTCCAAACTGTTTTAAATCAAATATAAGACTTGTTACAAAGGGACTTAGATGTTGTAAATAATTAACTTTTTTCAGGAGACGTATTGTGTACTTAATGAGGAGTCCCTAGTACTTTAGAATGGTTAAACCCTTTATTAAGCACACCATAGAAGATGAGGTCGAAAGGCTTGGCTTTGATTATCATATTAATCATCTCAGGAGAACTCAATGCAGAAGGTAAAGTTAACTTTAAATATTCTTTATTCTCTAATAATTATAAAGGGAAATTCTAACATTATTTCTCTTGAGCTTTTAATATAGTCTTTCATTTTTATGTACCAATTTTATAAAAAAGATACTTATAAATATAATTTGTTATAATATTTAGACAGACTTTTTCCTTTGAGAAAAACTACTAAACTATTCTTAGAGTAACATAGCTTAGAAAACCAAAACAAGACAAAAAAAAATAAACTTTTTGCATCTTTAGTTTTGAAGGTATAGGAGACCAGGATCTAAATACTTCAAAGTGTTTTCAGGCTAACAGGCTAATGGTACCACCATTTGAAGCTGTAAGTTAACCTTAATTCTAATTTCAGACCAGAATTCATTCCTAACACTGCACAGCTTGTACAATTTTAATTCTCTGCTCTTAAAGAGAGAGCTTTCATGTGGGAAATTTTAAAAAGAACCATAAAATCATCAGCAAGATCTTTGACTGTTGACACCTTGATTTTTATCCTAATTTTTATTCTTTGGTTGAAGACAGTAAGTAATGATTAGTAGGAGGACCATATGATTGTTTATGTAAATGAGGACATGTCTCAGGGTGAAGGCAGGTTTTATTAATACTCAAATGGGGCAACAGGGGTAAATCAGTACTGTCCAGACAGGCAATACCTGTGGACTCCCTAACTGTTAGAAATCTTTCTACCCAGACTGCCTCATGTGTGAGGTGAATGTGAGTGTGCAAGTATGGGTTATTTAGGAAGAGTTAACGATGTTCTTGGGCTGTAGGGATAAGAAGCCAGGCAAGTCATTAAGTATCAGCAAGAGTAGTAGACAAAGAAGGAAACCACAGCCATAAGCCTCTTTTAAAACACCTTAGGAAATTTGTTGAAATAAAATACCCGACAGATTATACATAATTGCCTTAGTTGAATAGTTTACTACAAATTTTCTGCCAGAAGAGGCTCTGCAATTAAAATTATGAAAGTGAAATTAATTGAATTCATCTTACACATTTAATTCTACAATAAGATAATTTTTGCATGCAGTTTCCTTTTATTTTTCTGTCTAAATAGGGAAAAAACAGCTGATATAATTGTCTATTATCTATACCATGAAAACACTGCAATATTCTAGCTAATTTTCTAATTATTGTGTAATTATAATCTTCTTTCACACAAAGAAATGTCAGCTGCCTGAAGACAGGGACCATGACCTCATATTCCCATGCTTCCCCCACCCCCATCTGGAATCTTGGGGGCAAGATCAAGTTAACTATACTCCTCATGTCATATGACCATCACTGGCCTATGAAAAGTGTCACTTTTGTTTTATTTATACATTTTCCTTCTTCATTCCTGACCCTGAATTCCATTTCCCTTTCAACCAAACTGTTGAAAACCCAACTGTTGAAAACCAAACTGTTGGGACCCACTATAATGTTTTTATTCTTAAATATATATATATATATATATATATATATAATTTTTATATATATATATATATTTATATATATAAATATATATATATATTATATATATATCCTTAAATATGCAAATATCTTTGTAAACTATGTCTGGTTTTGTGTGTTTTACATTCATATAAATGGAAGCTTGCCATAGATTTTATCTCCTTATTGTTTCATTTTACTTGCTACTGTTTAAACATATTTCCTTGTTGCTTAATCTAGTTTGTTGCCCTTAAGTGCTACCTACCTTAGTATATTTACTTATCCACTCTCCTAAGGATGGACACATAGTTTCCTCTAATTTCCTCCTAACCTCAAATAACTGAAATGAGTGCTTTCATGTAATCACCTTATTTCTCTGTGACGATTTCTCTTGCCTGTGTATATCCCCCATGTGGGGCTATGGGCTCAATTCCTTTTCTTCGTTTCCTGATTTATAACAGATTAGCATTTCCCTCTGCTTTCTGCCTTTTAAAGAGCTGATTTGTGGGAGCTCTTTGCAGACCATACATTTTAACTTCTTGTCACTTTTAGACATTGCAAATTCCTTCTTCCAAAATGTGATATGTGTGTTTTGTCAACAATACTTTTCATGGAAAGTCATTCTCAATTTTCATATAATCAGATTCATGAACTTTTGCCTATAGTTTCTGCAAGTTCTAAAGAATCTTCTTTGTAAATCCCTGGTGGTATGGGTTTGGAAAATGGTGAGAATCCTCAGGGGACGGGGCCTCCCCTGCACATGTTTTTATCTGCTCCTTCCTTCCATCAGACTCTGGAAAGTTTCTTTTACTCATAATTCCTTGCCCACTTCCCTCAGCCCTGGGAGGGCACTGCTATTATTTTATGTCTCAGGGTAGCAAGAGGGTTGACTGTCGTCCCCAAGGCATTGAAGGCAAAATAATCCCATTCGCCCGGGTCTTCTACATACCTGCCACTTCCTCCCAACACAAACCCTAGGGGCTGCTTAATAACTGCTTTCTTTTAAGTGTATTTATGATTTTAAAGTCTCCAACATAAGGATAGTTTTTTAAACATAAATGTTTTCTTTGGAGTATAATGTATGCAGAAAAATGCAAAAAATCATGGGATGCCCCTTTATAAATGTTTACGAAATTTTACTGCACCTGGATGAACATATAGAACATTGATTGGCACTCAGAAGCCTCCTAAATGTCCCTTTTTAAAGAACTAAACCTCAGGTAACCATCCTGATTTCTCTGACCATGGATCATCTGACGTGAGGGTGACGTGCCAGAGGTGGGTGGAAGAGGCTTCCAAAGGGATGCTCTCCAGAGCCATCCTGGAACAAGAGCCAGTGCTGCCAAGCCCCAACTCCCCAGAGACTAAGGAGGAGCCTGACCCCACCCCCTGAGCTTGAACACATCCCCAGAAAGCACAGGAGCCCCAGTAGAGCTGTGGGACTGGCCTGGGCCACCAGCTTCCCTGTGGCACCTGCTTCTCCATCCTCCTCTTCCCCGTGGCACCCTCCTCCCCATCCTCCCCCCCGTGGCACCCTCCTCTCCATCTTCCTCCCCCCGTGGCACCCTCCTCTCCATCCTCCTCCCCCCGTGGCACCTTCCTCTCCATCCTCCTCCCCCCGTGGCACCCTCCTCTCCATCCTCCTCCCCCCGTGGCACCTTCCTCTCCATCCTCTCCCCCGTGGCACCCTCCTTTCCATCCTCCTCTTCCTCGTGGCACCCTCCTCTCCATCCTCACCACAGGGGAAGCAGGAGAGGACCATCTGCAGAGGTTGAAGGCTCTGCCAATCATGCGGCAACAGTATTGCTGAAGATGAGAACCAGGGTCTGGGCCTCCCAACATGCATCTCCTGAGGTGGCACCCTCCCCTGAATGGACTGATACGGTCCCAGACCGTAGAGTTCTTTGGGTTTGGCCTCAGTTCTGGTCCTTGCCTCAGGTCCAAGGAGGGCACGTGAAGCCCAGGCTGCTGCCAGCCCCACCCTCCCCAGAAGCCATCCAAAGGCAAATAACGTTAGTTATTTGGAGGCCTGGTGAAGGGGTGTGAGAACTGCTGAAGCAGAGGATCAAGCAGAGGCTGGTGGGTGGGGGTGAACTGCCCCCAGCCCAGCCATAGACCCTGGGACAGAACCACACATCAAAGCGACAAGCACCCAAAAGAAGAATCCGGGGGGACCCTCATATCCAGGGGGCCTCCTGCCTTCCCACCACAAAAAGAAAGTCCTTCAGACAGTGGAACTGCTCCTGCGGCTGGGGGCCGTCATCTTTGGCTCTTTCCCCCTGACCTCTGCCACCTGCTCCCAAAGCCTGACTCTCACCTTGTGGGAGCGAGGGCTGGAGACGAAAGAACAGGGAGGTCCTGTGGTGTGGACCGTTTCTCACTCTGCGAGCACCTATCCTTCCTGGCCCAGGCCTGCTGCTCCCATCACGGCCCCCTGGGCTGTCCAGACGGGAGGCCTTGGGATCAGGAGCAAGGGACCAGCCTCGGAGGCTGCCTCCAGGCCTCCCTCTCTGGGTCTCACAGTGGGGCGTGTGCACCTTGTCCGACGGCTCCCAGCGAGGCCGGCTCTGGGTGAAGCCCAGTCCTGGTGGGAGAGGTTCCTTTCCCTGCATGGGTGCCCTCGGCTGCCTGGCTTGACCTCCTGCGTGATGAGCCAGGGACCCGGGTGTGCAGCCTGGCCTCCTCGCCTCGCGTGCTGTGTCTTTGGAAGCTCCGGGCAGGCTCTTCTCGTGGTCACACTGCTCTCTGGACCCCAAGACTGTCCTCTGGCCTTTCTTGGGTTGGCAGGTGGCCTGAGAAACCGAGTTACCGTTCAAGCTCTGCAAACTAATGGAGATGCAGACGGCCCCCACCTGTGGCTGCTGGTGGGGCCGAGGCAAGAGCGGTACAGTCCGCCCGGCACTGCCGGAGGACCCACCCGGCCTCGTGCGAAGAAGGGATGCTCAGGGCACCTGGGTGCTCACCAAGAGGAACGCAGCACGACCATCCAGGCACTGGCTCTCCTGAATGTCCACGAGTCAACCTTCCACCCCCGCTCACCTGGCACCGCCCACGGGTCTCAGGTCCTCCAGGCGCTCCGTTGCCCCCGCGGCATCTCCCCGACAGCAGCTGGGTGGTGGCGCCTTTCAGAAAGCAGCAAGGCAGGTGGGAGGAGGTGGTGCCTGTGATGACGGTGGCCCCTGCTCTGGGAAGGCGCCTCTGGCCTGTGTGTCTGAGTTTGATGCCACCAGGATCTCTGAGCCCAGGGGTAGTGGCCTGGGTCAGTTCCCGTGGGCGCCAGGCTGCCATTGGCTACAACCACCGCTTTGGGTAAAGGTCTGTGTTTCATCAGTTCCTGCTGGGATTGAGGGCAGAACCCCGGGCCTGATTTTTCTCGGCCATCTCTGCTGAGTTCCTGGTTGACCCTCACCCCTCACCCTGATGGTCGGAGGTCTGATGGGACAGGAGGAGGGTGCTGGGCTCATCCTCTGAGCTGTCACCACACGATACTCTTGAGAAGATAAAGTGCCAACCACCCTAGGACCTCAAGTCTGGGTGGAGGGTCCCTTGATATGTCTGCAATGGTACCTCCCACCATGCAGTCTGAGAACCTGAGAACAGCCATCCTCCCTCACATTCTACCACCAGCACCGATCCCTGCCTTCAACCTTTTGTTGCAGTGGGGCCAGTTCTTCACTTCCCATTTTACTACATTTCTCCTGGCTATCTCTGCCTGACAGCTGTGGCAGCTTCCAGAACGGACTGGTCCTCCTGAGGGGTAAGAACCCAGCTGGCACCTGCTGGAGGGGTTCCAGGCAAGTGTACACACAGGCAGCCTGCACATCTGATGAGAGATGGGCAATGGAACTGGAGCAGGTCCATGGCTGAGCTCTCCAGTGAGGTGACAAGGGCCCAGGGGGAGTGGCTGGGGGCTTGGTTGAATTAGTGGGGGAGGGGTGGGGGTGAAGCCTATGGGAGGAGGGTCTCCTTCTTCCAGGGGTGGCACAAGTAGGGAAGGTGGGAGGTGGTGAGGTTGGCAGAAAGAAAAAGGAGGGGACCCAGTAGGAAATTAGGTGGCACAGTGGAGACAATCATAGGTCTGTGAGATTCACCTTGAGTATCAACACTCGTGTTGCTGTTTAATATCCCTTGTGTGGATAGTCTGGCGTGTGTTTGTCTTTTCTGCTGTCAGTGGGCACTTGGTTGCTTCCAGTTGGTACCACATGCAGAGACTTGCCAGGAACACTCTCTTACACATGTGGGTGCACAGAGATGTGCTTTCAACGTGGTTTGTACATATTCTGCCATACTGTTTTCTCAGGAGAGGTCATACCTGTTTACACTCTTACTTGCAGTGGTCTTGAGTTCCCTTTTCTCCATGTCCGCCCCAACCACTGGGGTAGTCTGTCTCTTCCAGGTCAGTCTTTCCTCTGGATGTATGGTTCTATCTCACAGTGATTTAAATTTGCCTTTCCCTGGTGACTGATAAAGCTGAGTCCTCTTTGCTAGACCTCTGACCGTTTAATGTAAGGTTCTCACTCAAGTCTTTTATTTTTTCAGTTGGTTGTCTGTCTTTTTCTTAAAAAACAAAACAAGACAAAAGCCATTCATATGAAAACTTGTAACTGCGTATCTTAAGGAGAACCTCATCTATTCTAGAACTTTCCCATCCAATAATACAGTGGCCACTAATCGCATGTGGCTTTTGAAATGAGACTAGTCCATATTGGGGTGTGCCATGAGTATAAATACACACTGGAGTTCAGACTTAGTAGGAAAAAAATAATATACTTTTAGTATATTGGGTTAAATAAAATCTGTTATTAAAATTAACTTCAACTGTTCCTTTAATTAACGTGCCTGCTAGAAATTTAAATATACATATATGGCTTGTGTTTCTATTAGAACGTGCTGTTTGACAAAGTTAGGGAAGGCTTCTCTGAGGAACTGGCCTGCCCAGATTTATTCTGACTGTTGGGTGTTGTGGTTGCTAGCAGATTACTTCCTGATTGAAAAGGATTGGCAAAAAATACCCTAAAATGTTAAGTAATAAAAATAAGTACTGGGTACAGTGTCTGCAAACACTTTGAATTTAAAAACCTATTGTCACTAGATCACAAATTGTATGGTTTTAAATATATTTTTCAGTGTTCAGCTTGATATTTTCTCATTTCAGAGAAACCCTGTGGTATTCCAAGTGTGGAAAATGGAAGGATTGCCCAATATTACTATACTTTTGAAAGTTATTACTTTCCAATGAGCATAAAGCAAAATCTGTCATTTTCCTGCTTGGTTGGTTACACAACTGAAACTGGGAAACAAGAGGCCCAGACCACGTGTACGGCAGCAGGATGGTCCCCAGAACCACGGTGCTTCAGTAAGTCAGTGGTGGGGTCAACATCATGTGATAACACGGAAATAAATAAGCTTGTAAAACTAGGATCCCCTAAAATATGGCAGATGTCTAAACCTTTTGGTAGATAAGAACTAAATTGCTGGCCAACTGTCTTTTGTACAAAATGAAAGCATATACTGTAATTCTGTAAATCACGTCTTTCATTAAAATGTTATCTTCTTTATCTGTTTTTAATATTACCCTGTGAAGAGAATACGGATAGTTATTGAAATTGTTATTATCACATTGCAAGGAAGAGAGGCACCACTGCGTGAACACAACCTGAAGGGGGCTAGTGCGCCACAGCTGGCTGGGAGGGAGTCTGGGAAAAGGTCTGGACCTGCCAAAGAGGCAAGAGACATTTTCTTCCCTCATTGTTTCCTGGTGCGCAAGGAGAGGGGATTAAGAACGCTGCTTAAAGAGCTTCAGAGACGGGCGCGAGCCGCGGCTAACAATTTCTCCATGTCCGCCCCAACCACTGGGGTAGTCTGTCTCTTCCAGGTCAGTCTTTCCTCTGGATGTATGGTTCTATCTCACAGTGATTTAAATTTGCCTTTCCCTGGTGACTGATAAAGCTGAGTCCTCTTTGCTAGACCTCTGACCGTTTAATGTAAGGTTCTCACTCAAGTCTTTTATTTTTTCAGTTGGTTGTCTGTCTTTTTCTTAAAAAACAAAACAAGACAAAAGCCATTCATATGAAAACTTGTAACTGCGTATCTTAAGGAGAACCTCATCTATTCTAGAACTTTCCCATCCAATAATACAGTGGCCACTAATCGCATGTGGCTTTTGAAATGAGACTAGTCCATATTGGGGTGTGCCATGAGTATAAATACACACTGGAGTTCAGACTTAGTAGGAAAAAAATAATATACTTTTAGTATATTGGGTTAAATAAAATCTGTTATTAAAATTAACTTCAACTGTTCCTTTAATTAACGTGCCTGCTAGAAATTTAAATATACATATATGGCTTGTGTTTCTATTAGAACGTGCTGTTTGACAAAGTTAGGGAAGGCTTCTCTGAGGAACTGGCCTGCCCAGATTTATTCTGACTGTTGGGTGTTGTGGTTGCTAGCAGATTACTTCCTGATTGAAAAGGATTGGCAAAAAATACCCTAAAATGTTAAGTAATAAAAATAAGTACTGGGTACAGTGTCTGCAAACACTTTGAATTTAAAAACCTATTGTCACTAGATCACAAATTGTATGGTTTTAAATATATTTTTCAGTGTTCAGCTTGATATTTTCTCATTTCAGAGAAACCCTGTGGTATTCCAAGTGTGGAAAATGGAAGGATTGCCCAATATTACTATACTTTTGAAAGTTATTACTTTCCAATGAGCATAAAGCAAAATCTGTCATTTTCCTGCTTGGTTGGTTACACAACTGAAACTGGGAAACAAGAGGCCCAGACCACGTGTACGGCAGCAGGATGGTCCCCAGAACCACGGTGCTTCAGTAAGTCAGTGGTGGGGTCAACATCATGTGATAACACGGAAATAAATAAGCTTGTAAAACTAGGATCCCCTAAAATATGGCAGATGTCTAAACCTTTTGGTAGATAAGAACTAAATTGCTGGCCAACTGTCTTTTGTACAAAATGAAAGCATATACTGTAATTCTGTAAATCACGTCTTTCATTAAAATGTTATCTTCTTTATCTGTTTTTAATATTACCCTGTGAAGAGAATACGGATAGTTATTGAAATTGTTATTATCACATTGCAAGGAAGAGAGGCACCACTGCGTGAACACAACCTGAAGGGGGCTAGTGCGCCACAGCTGGCTGGGAGGGAGTCTGGGAAAAGGTCTGGACCTGCCAAAGAGGCAAGAGACATTTTCTTCCCTCATTGTTTCCTGGTGCGCAAGGAGAGGGGATTAAGAACGCTGCTTAAAGAGCTTCAGAGACGGGCGCGAGCCGCGGCTAACAATGCGGACCCCAGAGACGGGCATGAGACACTAAGGCTGCTGCTGCCGCCACCAAGAAGCCTGTGTGCGAGCACAGGTCACTATCCACACACCCCTTCCGGGGAGCCTGTGCAGCCCGCCACTGCCAGGGTCTCGTGATCCAGGGACAACTTCCCCGGGAGAACGCATGGCACACCTCATGCTGGTGCAACGTCATGCCGGCCTCTGCCACCGCAGGCCCGCCCCACACTCCATGCCCCTCCCTCCCCCAGCCTGAGTGAGCCAGAGCCCCCGAATCAGCGGCTCCTTCAACCCCGTCCTGGCTGAGCGAAGAACAGACGCCCTCAGGCGACATACATGCAGAGGCGGGGCCACATCCAAAGCTGAGCCCCGGGAGCTGTGCGAACAAAGAAGAGAAAGGGAAATCTCTCCCAGCAGCCTCAGGAGCAGCGGATTAAATCTCCACAATCAACTTGATGCACCCTGCATCTGTGGAATACCTGAATAGACAATGAATCATCCCAAATTAAGGAGGTGGACTCTGGGAGCAACGATATTTATATTTTTTTCCCTTTTTTCTCTTTTTCTGAGTGGGTATGTTATGCTTCTGTGTGAGATGTTGTCTGTATAGTTTTGCTTTTACCATTTGTCCTAGGGTTCTCTCTGTCCTTTTTTTGTTTGATTCTTTATTTTTTAGTATAGTTTTTAGCGCTTGTTACCATTGGTGGATTTGTTTTTTCTTTGGTTGCTCTCTTCTTTCTTTTAATTACTTTTAAGTAACTTTTTTAAATAATTATTTTTTATTTTAATAACTATTTTATCTTCTTCTTTCTTTCTTTCTTTCTTTTCTCCCTTTTATTCTGAGCCGTGTGGAGGACAGGCTCTTGGTGCTCTAGCCAGGCATCAGGGCTGTGCCTCTGAGGTGGGAAAGCCAAGTTCAGGACATTGGACCACAAGAGACCTCCTGGCCTCACATAATATCAATTGGTGAGAGCTCTCCCAGAGATCTCCATCTCAATGCTAAGACCCAGCTCCACTCAACGACCAGCAACTTACAGTGCGGGACACCCTATGCCAAACAACTAGTAAGACAGGATTACAACCTCACCCATTAACAGAGAGGCTGCCTAAAAGCATAATAAGGTCACAGACACCCCAAAACACACCACCAGATGTGGACCTGCCCACCAGAAAGACAAGATCAAGTCTCACCCACCAGTACACAGGCACTAGTCCCCTCCACCAGGAAGCCTACACAACCCACTGAAACAACCTTACCCACTGGGGACAGACACGAAAAACAACAGGAACTATGAACCAGCAGCCTGCAAAAAGGAGACACCGAACACAGTAAGTTAAGCAAAATGAGAGGACAGAGAAACACACAGCAGATGAAGGAGCAAGGTAAAAACTCAGCAGACCTAAAAAAATTAAGAGGAAATAGGCTGTCTACCTGAAAGAGAATTCAGAATACTGATAGTAAAGATGAACAAAAATCTGGGAAATGGAATGGAGAAAATACAAGAAACGTTTAACAAGGACATAGAAGAACTAAAGAGCAAACAAACAATGAGGAAAAACACAGTAAATGAAATTAAAAATTCTCTACAAGGAATCAATAGCAGAATAACTGAGGCAGAGGAACGTATAAGTGACCTGGAAGATAAAATAAGGGAAATAACTACTGCAGGGCAGAATAAAGAAAAAAGAATGAAAAGAACTGAGGACAATCTCAGACACCTCTGGGACAACATTAAATGCACCAACATTCTAATTATAGGGGTCCCAGAAGAAGAAGAGAAAAGGAAAGGGACTGAGAAAATATTTGAAGAGATTATAGTTGAAAACTTCCTTAATATGGGAAAGGAAATAGTTAATGAAGTCCAGGAAGCACAGAGAGTCCCATACAGGATAAATCCAAGGAGAAACACGCCAAGACACATATTACTCAAACTGTCAAAAATTAAATACAAAGAAAAAATATTCAAAGCAGCAAGGGAAAAACAACAAATAACATAAAATGGAATACCCATAAGGTTAACAGCTGATCGTTCAGCAAAAACTCTGTAAGCCAGAAGGGAGTGGCAGGATATACTTAAAGCGACGAAAGGGAAAAACCTACAACCAAGATTACTCTACCCAGCAAGGTTTTCATTCAGAATTGATGGAGAAATTAAAACATTTACAGACAAGCAAAAGCTAAGAAAATTCAGCACAACAAAACCAGCTTTACAACAAATGCTAAAGGACCTTCCCTAGGCAGGAGACACAAGAGAACGAAAAGACCTACAATAACAAACCCCAAACAATTAAGAAAATGATAATAGGAATATACATATTTATAATTACCTTAAATGTAAATGGATTAAATGCTCCAAACAAAAGATGGAGACTGGATGAATGGATACAAAAATAAGACCCATATATATGCTGTCTACAAGAGACCCACTTCCGGCCTAGGGATACATACAGACTGAAAGTGAGGGGATGGAAAAAGATATTCCATGCAAATGGAAATCAAAAGAGAGCTGCAGTAGCAATTCTCATATCACAAAATATAGACTTTAAAACAAAGACTATTACAAGAGAAAAGGAAGGACACTACATAGTGATCAAGGGATCAATCAAAGAAGAAGATATAACAATTGTAAATATTTATGCGCCCAACATAGGAGCACCTCAATACATAAGGCAAATACTAACAGCCATAGAAAGTGAAATGAACAGTAACACAATCATAGTAGGGTACTTTAACACCACACTTTCACCAATGGACAGATCATCCAATTGAAAATAAATAAGGAAACACAAGCTTTGAATGATACATTAAATAAGATGGACTTAATTGACATTTATAGGACATTCCATCCAAAGACAACAGAATACACTGTCTTCTCAAGTGCTTATGGAACGTTCTCCAGGATAAATCATATCTTGGGTCACAAATCAAGCCTTGGTAAATTTAAGAAAATTGAAGTCATACCAAGTATCTTTTCTGACCACAACGTTATGAGATTAGATATCAATTACAGGAAAAAATCTGTAAAAAATACAAACACATGGAGGCTAAA